GTTAGTCATAATTTGTTGTGCTTTGAGAATGAATGTATCTTCCATCTAAAAATTATACTCTAAGACTCTAGAAGTGAACGCAGTGAAATACCCATGTGTATTGCCAACATATGTTTGTGGCCTGGTTTCATGCAAAGGATACAAATGGAGATGTTTGAAAAAATAAATAAAGACTCAAGGAAGGAAATGAATATTTAACTGTTCTGGTACCAACTTACTATGAAGTAAAACTAAGTATTATAAAATTATTAGAAGGATATGAATAAGAAAATGTTCTAAGTCAAATTTATACTCATACTTAAAGTTCCAGAAATACAAATCTAAATCCAAATAATCCCTTTGGGTTTTTGAAAGATGTGATGGAACAAAATCTCTGTTCTAAAGTGAAAATGTGATGTCCTATTTTTCAGTGAAACTCAGAATGAATAATCATAAGAAGAAAGACAAAAAATGCAAAACACGTATGTATTTCACTACATAAATCCAATTCAGGGTGAAACAGATTTATAGACAATAACTTAGTTCTTGAACATTGAATAAGAAAATTGTAAAATCTCTTCTCTGAAATAATTGGCAATCAGACTCATTTTATTTCAGTGTACATAAACACTGAAAATTGACCAGACAAGTTCTTACCAGCAACTGAGATCATACAAAGTCCACAATCACTAAAACTACTGCAGATAGCCCAGGAAGTGCTAGCTGTAGATGTTTTTGCTATTTTTTATTTTATTGAATATTATAAGCTTTGTGCCAAAAACAGGTGACGTATCTGCTTATCTTATCTATGTTGCTCACGTTAGGTTATTAGTGTGGCACAGTAGAAAGGAAGTGGGTCTTAGACCTGGTTGTAAATGACATTCTCTTTCTACAAAATGAGTGAAAGAAAGGTCACTGAACCAGGTCATCAGGCCTCAGTTTCACCACTGGTCCACAATCCACAGTGTTGGGTTTTTGTGAAGATGGAGGCAGGGGAATGGCTGTTGTCTTGGAGAATCAATATGGAATGATGCTTTTCTAGTTACCTTTACAAAAGGTAAGGTGTCTGTTACCTTCAGTGTTGTGTGAAGTGAAACAGAATGATTTTTATGATCCCTACTTTTATATTTTATTTTTATTTCTAATTTATATAATATGCTCATAGGCCTTGAATTTTTTTCTAGGAAAATAAAATCTGTACTTCAACCATGTTTTTGAAAAACTTTCATATAATCTTTGAGATGAGATGAAGAAAAAGTTTCATAAGAGTTAGAAAACAAACCCTAAAAATATTGCTCAACTTCACGCCCTATTTAATATCTTTAACAGTGACTTAAAAATGTCAGGGATAGTTATCAAATTTGTCGATAACTAGAAAGAAAAATTATGGTTGAAACAGGAACAAGAGCCAAAAGACCCTGAAGAAGATGATATTCAGATGTTAATCTTCAAGGATCATACCAACTTGAAGACTCTAAAGCTAATTAGAAATTAGTGAAGAAAATTCATACTTCACTTTTTGAACTCCTGGAAGTGACCTCCAGGGAAAAAGATGGTAGAATTCTATTAAGAACTGAGACTATGATTTACAAAAGGAACGTAATCTTCATTTTACTAATAGAAAAGGGACTCAAGGCTTTGGAAACTGATGATTTAGTCAACTTTAAAACAATGGTAAGGGGCAAACTGTGAATGGCAGATAGCTTTCGAGAATCTTACCTTTTTCCTTGCAAGAGGAAAGAAAGAAGGATGCTAAAACAATAGCATTTTTGAATTTCATGTTTTCTCTTTTCTATTAACCACAGGCCAATCTACAGGCGTATCTCAAAGATACTGCCGGTTCGATTTCAAACCACAGCAATAAAGTGAATATCGTAATAAAGTGAGTCACGTGAACTTTTTTGGCTTTCCAGTGCGTATAAAAGTTATGTTTCCACTATCCTGTGGTCTATTAAGTGTGTAATCGCATTATGTCTAAAAATACAGTGTGCGTACCTTAGACAAAAATACATTATTGCTAAAAAGTGCTAAGCAGCATCTGAGAACCCAGGGTTGCCACAAACGCTCATTTTGTGACAAAATGCAGTACCTGCGAAAAGCAATAGCGTGAAGCACAATAAAGCAAGCTATGTCTGTATATTTTCGTGACAACGGTGATAATTTTACTTTTATCCCAGAAGTATTAAGAGCAAAACGGATCAGAGACGTACATCTGAGCATCTGGTGATGAACAGGCTTACATGAAGATCAATTTTGAACACAGCAGCAGTGAATTTCCTGCGCACCCCACACTGTGTTCATAAGCTAGAGAAAGCCGATCTACCTCCAGCAGCAGCTGCTTTCATGAATTATTCACGGACATAGCCTAAGGAATACCATGTCACAGCATTTGTTAATTGGGTACAGTTGGTAAAATTCATACGTATCAACTTTGTTTCTAACTCTCTTTCACACTTTTATGATACAACATTTGACCTTTTATGTGTAAAATGTAGTATTCTGCAAATTCAGTCATTAACATGGATTCATTTGGTCTCCCTTCCAGCTTCACATTGCTTATATTTATTCCGTGTAGATTTAGAACCTTTAAAAGCTTAAATATGAGATCAGAATGTCTGGCATTAATAAGCCATCTTGAAGAGGAAATTTCTAGTTTAATGGACCTGTAAGGTACCATGTCTATAAAGGAAAAACACTGCATGTATATTATAAATACACACTTAATTGGTCAGAAAAAAAAACCTAACTGTAGAATAGTAGCCATAATTATCAAAATCCTTAACGTATGGGGGAAAAAATGGGATGCTAAAACAATAGTTTATGAATTTTAAGTCTTCTCTTTTCTATTGACCACAGACCAATCTATGTTTTCATAGCAGCAATGGAACTTTGACCTTCATTCAGTGATTTACAGTTGACAAACACTGTCATCTATGTTACTGTCACTCCATTGTAGTAATGGTGGTTTATCGAAAGTCTGGTAGCAGAACGTATAAGAATGTAGCAACGTGGATACTGTTCCAGTGGATAAACCAGCCCTGGATTTGCGAGAATAGGCTCCACCCATTTTGAGAGGAGGAGCTATCTGGAGTCTGTGGAGGCAAGGTACCAATTACAGAGAGTTGAATGGCAAAAGCTCTTCCAAGATTCTATTATGCTCCTAAAGACAGAAGGCACATTTCTAAAAGAAAAATATTGCATTTAAGTTACTCAAGTAATTGGAACTTTTAGAGAGTATGTGATTTTAGAAACAGTTTTGACTCAATTCAAACCGTTAGTACCTGTTGTAGAGTGAACAGAGACACAAGGAATCCATGACAGCTCATCGTGTAAATGAGCAAAGGTGGACAGTGGTTACCTGGCACGGAATTGCAGAAGAATATGTGAAGATTTCATACACTGTCCCTCTTGAATGTGTAAAGTACAATCACTTTATCAGGCCTATTTTATTCAACCCAAACCACTCCTGGAAAAGATGAACACTACACTGAAATCTCCAAAGTGCGATTTAACCCTCTTTCAGGTAGTGATTGACTTCATCTTGGTTCACCTTTTTAACTTTCTTTTACCTTCCAAAGGTGAGCATCTGTCTCCTCCAGAATTTACTGGCTTAACCTGCATACAGGCCCCCCATTTGTAACCTTTCATTCTTATTGCAGAGAAAATAGGGAAATGCACACATGCTACATAATTTCCATCTCAAAATCAGCAGAAAATAATAGAAGGAAAATAAACTATGTGAGATTAACCTGGGATTGATCTTTATCAATACTGGAAATTTTCCCTCAGGGAACCAATTTATTTTGTAAAGGAGCGGGAAAAGCTAATTAATATTTGTCCTTACCACATTCCAGAGGTGACTCTGGGATTTACAGGTATTTATTTTACTGTCTGTTTGGTTGTTTCTATTTACAACCATATTATATAAGTTTTCTGGGTTGCTGCTGGTAAACAGGTGTATCTGATGAGTCATATTGAGAAGTGCCAGTATTCAAAGCGTATCATTGGCCAGTTCATTGGCATCCTACAGTGGGTTTTAACTGCACTGATGCTTTCAAGGCAGAAAAACACAGATAAAATTCTGCCCTGAAATCACCAGCAATCTACTCCGATGTCTTTGAGAGTAGTTAAAGTAACATCTTTTGGTAAAAGCTCAAATAGGCCCACTATTAGTAAACTGCTTACCTATAATCAGAGAGGATTATAACGATTTGATACCAAAACCCATCCTTATTCTACCTTCTCTTGCACCTTCTCAAGGTTTCATGCTTGCATAAGGCTGAATATGTGGGGAGTGTTTGTGAAATTCGTAAAAGGGTTCTTTGTCTACAAGTGACTAAATTTGATAGTCATAAGTTGAAGGTCATCTTCCTAGAGGATCTGGCCAGTAATTCCAAAAAGGCTGATAGTAATTGAAGCCAATAAATTTAATTAATCAATATTTATCTTCTAAGGATGGTCCAACATATGTGGCATTAGCATAGATAATGTTCATTTGGAAATCTTGATATAAGGGAAGGTTTGTGACTCTAGTGAAGACTATAAGTTACTATGATAATTAAATCAGAGAAAATCAGCTCAATGTTCCCTGTATTTTGGGTCAAAAGTACAGAGAATAGGGGATACAGCCTGCTGGAGGAATGTGAGAGGAAGAGCACATTTTTGCAAAGGGTTTTATCCTTAATTATTAAATATCTATGTTGTATTCCCCAAAGACAGGAAGCCACTCTAATGCAAAGACCTTAGCTTTTATTTCTTTTTGAACCATCCACAGAACTTTGATATATGTTTTTTCACTGTATTCAGCTTTCTGGTATTTTGCAATACATAGCCTCAGTCTATTTACTATTCTGCCATTGATACCAAGCTGGACTTGAATAGCTCAGTTAAACTCTACTGGATTAGTTTGGTACCAGTGTATCATTATCATGTGCTTTTTCAAGGATGATCATAGAAAAAGCAAGATAGGTGAGGAAAGGAAAAGTGGAGTGGTAGCTGTGGAAAGGGTCCTATTTTCAGGGTCATGAGGCTTTCAGAGAAGAGCTCTAATTACTGTAATATATTCAAGAAGGAAGTCAAGGGAAGGCAAAGAAGGGGGCCACTTGGGGAAAACAAATATGAACTATGACTTAACCTAACATGTTGGCTAACTAGTTTTCTCATTTCCCTAAATACCTAAATAACATGTTGTTTATTTGTGTAAGATCTTCCATAGCATGCTCCCAACATACTAGTTAACGATTAAGTCTAGCGAAGAGTGAGGAATACTGAACGAACAAAAACTGGAGAATAGTTCCGAAGTGCTGAAGGATAATTTTATAAATGGAGCATAGTCGTAAGCTTCAAGATGTGTAATGCCTCAGAAGAGAGACCCTAGTGTCACATTGTGTGAAAGAGATTTTGTGTTTAAGTTATGGAGAGGAGCGTGGTTCTGACTGCTGCAATGGTTTCACGGTGTACGAGTACCACTATGCCCCTGGAACCAGGAAGCACAGTCCCCAAGACTAATTAGAAGGACGTTCAACGTACATCTGTCAGGAAGTGCTCCCGCTCTTGACCATCGGAAAGTCTACGGATGACTTACTGTTGGTTTCAAGACTCTCACAGAGTTCACTTTTCACCTCGCCATTTGGTCTGTCATTTCCTTTTTGGGTCAGTTTGCTTTGCATGGTGGCAGCTGTCACCACAGCCTTGAAGCTCCTTTTGCGTTTCTGAACGTTCTGCTCTGGATGAAAAATTATGATATAAACCTTGGGCATGTAGAGCATGCCCAGAGACACCGAAGCACTTAAACTCATGGAGACAGTAAGTGTTGTTGTCTGGATGTACATCTGAGGGAGGAAAAGAAAAAAAAATAATCAATGTTGGTAAGTCTGATCTAAGGTAAAGCAAATAACACAACCATTTTCTGAAATTATTCCAGCTGTTCTGCTAAAGGTGCATTAGAAGGTACTTGTTGAAATTGCCCTTATTTATAGTCAAGCATTCCTTTATCCTCACCTGCAAATGTGGGTGAAGTTGTATTGTTTATGAAGCCCAATTCCTTAAAACAAACAAACAAGTAGTCTGATGGAGCTTAGGTTCCGTTTTAGATTTAATTAAGCATATATAACGAAAGGAGCAAAACCAGTCTAGCAAAAGACTAACAATTTATGTGATACAGCCCTTCTTCAGGGAGCTATCACAGGGTCAACTGTTATTCTTTGCAATAAACTTCACCTAGAAGGTAAATTACTTATCATGGAAATAGAGTGGTAATGAAATAGTCCAGAACATCACTATTGTACACTATTGCTTGAATAATGCCAGTGTTTGCATCTTCACCTAATTACTTAATTCCAGCTTCCAAACCTGATAGATCACAAGCATGTCATAAGGAAAAGGGCTTGATCTTTTTTAAACAGCCCCCCTAAAGGACAATTCCGGAGGGTTTCTCAATGATTTTGCATCAGATCAAAATAAACGTGAGTGTTTTTAGAAAACGTGTACGACTTCCTCCTTCCAGGTTGGAAATGTGCTCTTTGGGGACAGGGTCCTGACATCTGCATTCTGAAAATCCTCCCCCTGTGCTCATTCCTTATCCTTATTCCACTGAAATTGACTGCTCTGGTACTTACAAAGAGAGGTCCCTCTGGAAGATTTTTCCTCCTATAATCAAGAGGTTAATGAGCTGAAAAAGCCAAACCTAAAATCACCGCTTTTGGCTTTTTCATTATGGTATGAAAACAAACAGGATAGTATTTTAAAACAAACATGATAGTATTTTAATCTTTTTTTTTCTTCCCCAAGGTTATTGAGGTATATTCAAAAAATAAAAATTGTAAATATTTAAGGTGTACAACTTGATGTTTGGATAAGCATATATTATGAAATGACCACGGCAACTTGCAGGACTGCCAGCGGCTAGGGATGAGAGAAAACCAGATGGAGTTTATCTTGTCATGATTTCAGGAGTGTCTGTGGAAATGTGGGCTGATTAGCTGGTCTCTGTGCCCACGGGACCAGATTCACCTTAGGGACAGTAAGCGTAAAGAATAGCATCAATCCTGAATTCTACCCTTCTCTGCTGACTTTGGACCTCTGCTTAGGGCTTCACCAAACTGAAAGAGGCTCAACCTCAACCTCTGAAGTTCTGTCATTTTTACAGGATTTCGGGAACATCTATTTCCACCAGATATTTTGTTTCCTCTAAATACAACCCATGGGACTGTGATCCTATGAGACCTTGCCACATCTGTGGTTTTGGACATAAACAGAAGAGACCATCTTGAATTTTGTTACCCCAGTATCCTCGGCAGCAGGAGAGAATGAAGGAGGAACCTTGGGCTCTTGGGCATAAGCTCAGGGACTCTCAGCAGGAAATCTCTCTGAAGTCTTAATATTTACAAAAATGAATGGGGATTTTACATTAAGCTGTAAAACATTTATTCCCATATTAAAAATATCATTTCATATTTTTAAAATAGTTAATTAACATTCCATCACCTCACATAGTTACCATTTTCTTTCTTTCATCCTTTCTTTTTATTTTTTTGGTGGTACTCAAGTGCTCCCCTCTTAGAAAAGTTCGAGTACACAATACAGTTTTGTTAACTGTGGTCACTATACTGTATATTAGATCTCCAGAACATAGTTCTCTTGTATAACTAAAAGTTTGTACCTTTTAACTAATATCTCCCCATTTTCCCTTCCCTCTGTCTCTGGTAACCATTGTTCTTCACTCTGCTTCTAAGTCTGACTGTTCTAGATTCCACATATAAGCAAGATCATGCAGTATTTGTCTTTCTGTATCTGGCTAATTTCCCTTAGCATAACTTCCTTGAGGTTCATCCATGTTGTCACAAATGGCAGGATTTCCTTCTCTTTTTAAGAGTCAAATAATATTCCATTGTAGTTATATATCACATCTTTAAAAATAAAAATATTTGATCTATTTATATCTTTCATATACCAAGCTCAAAATATAATTTCTCCTAAATAACTTCAAATACTGAGGCTATAAAGAAACCATGTTTTAAGATTATTAAGAGATCTATCTCCTTTATCATATCTATGATCTTCTTTAATACCTGTTCACTCTAATGATATCTCTGAAAATATGAAGTTGCCAAATTGTATCTGGCAATCTCCCAAACCGATTGCATCCATTTTAATAAAGGATTGAAATATATTTACCTCCAAGGGTAAATACCTGAATGAGCCTTATGGTTGCCTTTTCCTAGGGTAGAATATTCCTTTTAACAGATGACAAAGCCTTCAGGTAAATAACTGTCCAAACCATGAAGAGAACTTCAGGCACCAGTAAAGAGAAAGAGACCGTGTGAAAAATCATGTCATGTAGATTACCAAGCTTACTGTTCAATTCATCTACCACTAAGGCTGTCCTTTGCTTAAGACCCTATCATGAGTACAGGACTACCCTTCAACAAGGTGACATTTAGGATTGGTTTGTTTTAAAATTTACCTCCTCCAAGTAGTCCTCCATGATAAATCTTACCTTAATGATAACATTTCAATTTTACTTCAAAGAACTAATGCATAGAAAAATAAATACAGTGGAGCACTTGCTAATGTGTAACTATGTGACTATAATCATTTACATGAAATTTGTAATAATTCATATAAAGTATGAAAGTATGGGTATAAAGTTCCTTAAAGTCTGTAACTTATATTTTTTTTAGAAATTATACAAGATTCTAGATACAATAATTACTCAGACGTTGCTCATTATTTTTAAATCTTTGAAACTCTTGAAGAGCTCCGTGATTTACACAAATCACACAGAATATGCTTTCCATAACTTTCCACTCTGTCAAATGGACATCAGAGTTGATGACGTTTTAAGTAAGAAATTCAAAATGATGAGTTATGAATCCAGATTCTAAGTTGGGCTCATGCCTCCCAGCCTCAACAGAGACATGATTCAAGTACATCCCTCAGCAAAGCAATGCATTGCTACATGTCATGGCCTCTCATGCTACCTGCCAATGAGTGAAAACCTGTGTTAAATTAGAGAGAATTAAAGATCTGCTACAATTAAGAAGGTCCTGATAAAATGTGAATATGTGCCTTTAAACCACATAAACCTCCCTAAGCTTTGCCACCCAGTTTAAGTAACTCATTATTATGAACACTCATAAGCTTCTCATGTGTTGGTTAATCCTCTTGGAATTCCTGCTCCTTCTCCAGCTAGCATTGCTGCAGAAAGGCCACGCGGGAAATAGGCTGCAGAGAAAGAGCACGAAGATAAGGAAAGGACAGAGCCAAATGCAAACCACACACGTAAATATTCCAAAGCCACTCACATAGGTAACTATCAGCTTCGTCCCCGTCAGACCCTGCCAAGTCCATTTAACTTAAAAGCAAACAAAAACCAGACAAAAACCCTCCAGACGTCAAACAGCCACAAAGTGATGGGAACACCCACACTGATGAGTTGGCTTCTTTTTCTATGTCTTAATCTGTTGGTCTTGCCAAAACGTATCATACTGCTCCAAATAGTATCGACAATAATTCATAAATACCTTCCTACTTCAAAATCTTACAAATTTTATCTGCTACCAGAAATATAATTTTCTACCCTTACTCAAAATAATTTCTGTAATATATAGTACATTTGATTTTGCTAAATGTGAAGCATGAAGAAGATTCTGGAATGCTAGCTTCCACATTAAATGTATTACTGCAGTCTATGCTTTCAGCAAACCAACTCCAAAGAAGATGCAATAAACACAGACATTGGGATCAGACAGTACTATGCTTAGTGTTCCAAGCTCTCCATTAGACACCACGCCTGCAAATTACACCATAATGCCGATCTTACTATTTGCTCTCTCCTAAAGCAACTCCCAAAACG